TAGAGGCGAAGTGCTTTTACACACGCCTGCGTGGCAATGCTGTTTTCTTTTCATGATTCTTCGCAGAAATAATGGTTCCCTGTCTGGGTTCCCTCTAATGGTATCACCGCCTATCAAACCGGGACCCCTGTTTTTCGAGACCCTAAACCCTGCATAACCCCAATATAATTCAAAAAAAATCCCAATATGCCCTTGAATTTAAAGTGACCCTAAACCCTGCATAACCCCACATAATTGCAAGCAACCCGAATATACCGTTTGATACCCCCAACCCTAAACCCTAACCTTTGAAGTGACAACTTTGGCCCCCCTCCCCACGCCCTAAACCCTAAACCGCCCCAAGCCCCACGCCCCATTTTCCTCGAAGCTCGGGAAGGTGGCACGAGACCGGGGAGTGACGAAACCGCGTGTGAATGCGACCTTCAGGCCTTGACTTCAAAGAGTTTAGGGTGTAGGGGTTTAGGGGTTTAGGGTTTAGTGTTTACTTAGGGCTTTGGCTAGACTCTAGACCTCGAACCCCAGTTATGTATAGACTTCAACATGGGGCTTTAACTCAAGTAGGTTGAGCAGACTTAACTCATCCCGTTGGCCTTCAGTGCGAGAACCCCAAGAATGGAGGATTTATGGTTTAGGTTTCAGGGTTTAGGATGATTATATACAATATGTAGGGGACTGGAAAAGAAAATGGAAACTCTTATGCCATTCAGAGCTTATAAGGTTCAATAAGCCCCGCATCTCCTAAAGATTTAATATTACCTTTGTGGCGTATTCATACGGACTGGGATAGATTTGGATCTCTTATGCTAGAGGTGATATTAGGCGAGGGGAATGGATCGCAAGGGATCCTGTACACAGCGACTGCATTGAACGCCCGTGCTTTCCCTGGCACTTTCAAGAAAATAAGAGTCATCAAGGATCATGATGACAGCAACTCGTTTTATAGCTGCTGGTTGTAGCTTTCTACTGACCCCAACCCCTATAGTAAGGACCCTATAATTGTCACATGGTTATCATAAGGTCCTAATTTTAGGGGTTGGGGAACTAAAGTCCCCTCGTTGCAGCTTCCAGCTCACAATCCAGATCAATCCGATGAAGCATCAGATCTTTGTGCTGGGGTCCCCAGTCCCCACATTAAAGACTCCTGCGCCTGAATCAAGCTGGATCAGCCAGCCAATCAGAACTTTTGCTGGCAGGTGGATCACGCGACACTCCAGGACAGAATCAGGGAAACTGGCGTTCCTGGATTGGCAAAATTAGCCCTAAACCCGTAACCTCTCATCCTACGTAAACCCTAACGCTGCTACCCGAGCCAGCAACTACTTAGAAAGAGCAGTGGTTGGTGGGCCCAACACCTCTCAAAGCTTGTAGTCTCCCTTAAGTAGATAGAATATGCGTTTTTTTGGGATCTTATCCTCGTTATATTGAGCAATTCTGTATTCTATCTACTTGAATAACCCTAAACCCGATTAAAGGGGGCGCTTGAGCTATAGTCTAAACTCCTTTACGGGGGTTATATAACAATGTTTAGGGCCTCAGGTTTAGGGTTTAGGGTCTAAACTCCTCAAAGGGGGTTTTATAGAGGAGTATTATAGGGGTTACTAGGGGATGCCAGGAGTTTAGACTATAGCTCAAAAGGTTGAGGGTAATTCTAGGCCTAGACCCTCCATCTGCGCTCTATATACCCTAAATAGGGACCATATATCCCTTCTTGAAGATACAAGGAGGGTAGGGTCCTCCTGGGGGTTAGTTCTGATATAGAGTACCTCAGAGAGACCTTGATAGGAGACTAGGGTTTAGGGTTCAGGGCTTAGGGTTCAGGGCTTAGGGTTTAGGGTTGATAGGGTTTAGGGTTTAGATGTTGGGGCTTGTTTAGGCCACTCCATCCTGCTATAAACCACCTACATAAACAGAGTTTCCATTGCATGTGTCGTTTTCTTTTCCGTTTGGTTCTTCGCTATGGGTGACCGATTCGATTCAAGCCACCTCCACACCCGAAATCTTAACCCCTAAGCCCAACACGGAAAACCCCAAATCCCAAATTTGAAGCGTCTGCTCGAAAGACATGTCCCCTGCACAAGTCAAAAGGAGAGGTTGCACAAAATCGAATTCCTAAACAGTAGCCCTACATCCTCAACCCCCAAACCTGTAGCACTTTCCATTGCATATCCATTTCTCTTCCCCTGATCTCCCATTGCCAAATGGTCCAGGGCCATGTAGGGATATGGTATGTACTTAAGTATATACTAGCCCTAAACCCTAAACAGCCTAAGCCCTAAACCCCCAAACCCTTTGGGATTGTTGGAGAGGAACTGCTCACTCCACGAGCCACGAGATTCCGAGCCTGTTTGGCACTCGGTTGTTGCCCGCGTCTACATGAGCTTAAAGGGGTTTATGAGGGATAACATAGGATTTAGGATTCAAGATTTAGAGTCTAAACTGCTTGAAGGGCGGGAATAAAACAGGGGGTATTAAGGGGATATGAGGGGTGTAGACTATGGCTCACATGGGGGTATTGAAAAGTTTACGGGACGGTCTATTAGGGATATAGGGTTACGGGTGAAATTTAGGGTCTGCAGTTTAGGGCGGGAGTTTCCTTCAATTCATTATATTTATGTTATGGGTCCCTATAGCGGGGTTCCTACTGCTAAGGGGTCCCCTACATAAATTTCCCCAATTTGGGGAGCAGTAAAAGTATCACATCTGGATGTTGAAAACCTAAGTGTACCTGCGGGTAAAGGGTCTTCACCGGGATATAGACCTAGACCTCTATACCGTACCCCTCTTGAACCGCACCTAATGTTGCATACAAGTCATAAAGTCAGCTATCCTAAGGAATTCGCAGGGTATAGGGCTCCCTTTTGGGAGTGCCAAAACCAAGGACTCGTATATTTGGGGTTTATATTATAATAAAGATATGTATATATACATGTATGTATATAATATCTCTCTCTCTCTCTC